GAGGAGGAGGGGGTGTTAAGGGAGTGGAAGCATGGAAACAAAGGCAGGAAGGCAGTGAGATGGCACGGAGCGTGGAGATAATTCACAGTCAGCTTCTCCATCAGACAAGGATCTGTAATTGAAGTGACAAAGAAGATGCATCACCGAGACGCTTGTTAGTGTCGGAGGCTGTAGAGGCTGACATCTCCTGTATCCCTCCTCTGCCAATCACTGAGAGGTTATTTTTGAAAGGGGGAGGAGGGGGGGGGGGTGTGATTGTGTTCAATACAGTCTGTGATGATCCATGGGGTTCTTTTGGGGTTTTTTTTTTTATAAAGTCCTTTATTTAGACTGTGATTTAAATTGAAGGCATCTTCAGGGGACACTTCATCAAGCAGAAGGTCTTGGGTTTGAGCCCCAGAGGAACCACATACTGGGCTCCACCCAGGGGCAGTGTGGGATCAGTTAAGTTCAGAACCAGTTCCGTCCATCATTGTCTGGAAAGACACGTCTTTAACTCCTGCCCTGATGGGTTTTTTTCCTGAGTCGTCAGATTTTACAGACATTCAGATGCACCTTATTATTCATCATTACGGCAGAGGATAGGTGTGTGTGTGCAGAGGTGTGTGTGTGTGTGTTGACTACTTTTTTTTATTATTATTTCACAGGAAAAAAGGTCCAAGAATTACCAATATACAAGGTCAGCAGCTGTTTCCACCTACTTTCAAACAGAACTTTTAAAGAACCAGAAGATCATTCTCAACAACATCCAACTGTTTCCATCAGTTCTACACAGCCTCCTAAAGTCACGCCTCAGCCTCTTATTCATAGAGCGCCAGTCTCAGCCACTGGGAGGCGCAGCCACCTGGGTCAACCTCCAGGCTCTGAAGGACGAAAACCACATTTTAATTCATGAGTAAAATTCAGCCCAGGGTTTGTGGGAATGTTCCAGGTTGTTGAGGACGGTTCTCTTGTTCGTACGATTGGCTGGAAATCCTTAAGACAGAAAATGAAGCTGTTACACCTACTGAAGATTTATTGTGTTTGGTTTTTTGGTTCTTGTGCAGACAGAGGGCGTGGTCACCCTAAAGATGGGCTCGTTGAAATGTCCTCGCCAAGACCAAAGTGGACAAGTCCTGTGCATGGACTGGCTGCCCCAAAAACCACACAATGTAATTGTTGTTGGATTCTACGATGGTATGAAGAGATTTTCTGATTGATTCTGGATCCAGAGTCCAGGACCTGAGTGGACCTGAGTGTGTGTGAGACAGAAAGAAAAGGTCCTTTTCCTCTGTGTCCAGGTGGAGTTGGATTCTGGGATCTGACCACTAAGTCTTCACTGTTACAAGTCAGAGAGTCGGACCAGTCTCTGAGTCTGCTGCCCTATCGCTGCCTGCTGGCCCATGACCACAGTGTCCGGTCCCTGACCTTCTGTCCAGCCTCCAGGTAAAGTCAACACCGTCTTATTATTATGACTCGCTGTTGGACTAGGAGACAACATTTGGTTTAATATCCAAGTTACAGTAGAAGTTTCTGGGTTTTTTTTATAAGAAGGCTGTAAAAAATACAGAAATACCCATCAAACAGCTGGAATATCAGTGACAGGATACCATGCGTACCACCAGAGGGAGCCCAAGTACCACTTTATGGTACATATGGTGCGTGAACCATAGTTTGAGAACCACTGATTTCTCAGAAGGTGTGTAGGAACTGACAGGTTTAAACTGAACTTAACTGTGAATGAAAACTTTTTCTATAAAAAAGTGAACTTTATTGACAGAAGTGTTCCACCCAGTGCTGATGGCCACCTGACATCAGCACTGACATCAGCACTGACATCAGCACTGACATCAGCACTGAAGTCACTCAGAGCAGGTTTATTGTCTCTGCCTTTAGAGTCTTTGATGCAGAAATTCAGCCTTTTTATTGATACCATCACAGGAGAAAAAAATAGTATTTCTTCCTTGTTTATCTTCTGGGTTTTTGTCTGCTGCTCTTTCATGTTGGCAGTTTAATTCCCGGCCGTCTTTATGAAGCTGGGTTAGAGCAGCAGCTCAGGCACTCGCTGCTAAGAGCAGCTCAATAAATCCTGCCGACGGAGCGTTATACTGACACACAGTCCTGGCTGTGGACCCATAGTACAGGCACCATGGTCTTCACTGGTCCTCCCACTCATAGTCTCCACAGCCGTCACAGACTAGGTCTAAATCCTAATCCAAATCTACATCATGATCTGATCCTCAATCCTAATCTGAATCTGATCTTTTTCTGAACGGCACAGTCTTGACTTTTTCTCATCACACCTTGGTCACATTCATATGTCAAAACAAAGCTGCCGAACGGTGGTAGTTTCATCTTCCTCCCTGCTGAGGGCAGTGCTGTGGGAAAATGATGAAAATAAAACAAAAGAGCTTCACTAAATAAGAGCGACTGTGTCTGTGGACTGTGCCATTCAAACAGTACCTGAAGGAACCGATCCAGAGACTGGACTGTTGTCAACTGTGGAGGAAAGTGTCCATGCTCAGAAAACTGTCCGCTCCTCGAGCGTCCAGTGTCTCAGCCCTGGTCTCTCTGCTCCATTACTCCACTGACGTACAGGACATGATGAGACCAGTGATTAAAGGTCCATTTACACCAGCTGCCTCCTCCACAAGGCTCCTTTGATGGAGCACATTCACAGTGCAAGTCAGCGTGAGCGCTGAACCAACAACCTGAGGCAGGGATGTCTTTTCATTAGAACCCTGCCGCTCATGTCACCAACCGTCTTTAGTCACCAGTCCTGACCCTAAACCTTCTCAGGCGTGGAGAACAAATGAGATGAATGTGACGGGTGACGTCACGGCTCCACCACAGGTTTGGAGAAATGCTGAGATCTTCACAAGTTTAGTGTCTGTGTTCGCAGAAGTTGCTACAGAAACGCCATAAAGATATTCAGGAAGTTACAGTAAAAATCTAGTTCTGCAACTGCTACTCCAGTTTCATCCATTTGTCCCTCGGTGCCAATGAAGTATTTCTGATTCTGCACCGTGCCACCACTGGTACAAGTGCCACGGTTTGAGAACCACTGATATGTGCCCCACATATGACTTGACGTGCAGCAGAGACAAACGTCTGGTCTGTAATGAGACTCTCCCCCCTCCTCCACTGCTGCGTCTCGTCATCTTTCTTCTCAGTTTGTCGTCTGTTTCTCTTTTGCTTGACTTCGTTCCAGCTGTCGTTCATGGCCTGAATGCGGCCCGTGTGTCTTTTTAATCCAGGGCTGTT